TGTGGATCCAGATGTAGTGCTCCTCCAGCAGCACATCTGCCTGTGTGCCGCCATGCTTCCCACCATAACAATGATGGACTAAACCTCTGAACCTAAGCCAGCTCCAATGAAATGGTTTCCTTGATAAGAGCTGCCAGGGTCATGGTGTCTCTTCACAGCAATAGAACACTAAGGCAACACTAACATTGGGTTTTCTGCAGCATCTCTAGATTCTCTGTCAGGCATTTTATCTTCTGAAATTCATTTACACAGGTCAACCTTACATAATTTGTTAGGGTGGTCTTACCCATTCCCACAGTGTTAGCACATAGAGACCTAAATTATTTAACCACTTCTCAATTGCAATCTTTATGTGAAGCCTAGAAAATTACTCAAAGCCTGTTTTCTTAGTTCCTCAAGGTTGGCTGAGGTGTATAATGCTAACACAGAAGTCGACACATTCAGATAGGAAAGACTTGTGGCTGTAGGGCTTGCTTCTCTAGCAGAATGTGTAAGGCTTCTGTCTTCCTGCATCCTTCCCTCTTTCCCTTGTTAATTTCTCTCTCCCTCTCCCCCTCCCTCACTCGTGCAAACAGGCATTAACTGAGGAGTAGAACTTGCAGCAGAGTGTGCTGGGAAGAAGACACGTGCCATCAGATTTGGAGATGTTAAGTTTGAGGACAGAAAGACACCCCACCTTTTCATAAGAACAGAGGCATATGAATTTAGATAAATTTAGATTTATCTAGAAATGAGCTCAAATTGGACTATAGGAGGATGTGGGGCAGTTAGATAAAAGCCAGCATTCCTTGGGGACTTGTGAAACCATTTTCTGTCCCCAGGAGTCCCTCTTGCTACTTCTAAGGCACATGGTTTGTTCACCCCATGCATGCATGCATACAGACTGAGATTCACTTTACAGACTGACCACCACAAGGGGAGATGTAACAGTGGTGTGAATTGAGAAGTAATCAAATGGTATCACTCAAAGCCATGCTTCTGGATAGATTGGCACAGGGGATGACTATAAGCAAGAGGGATTTTTAAGGTGCATCTTCAAGGGCTTTCCAATCTTCTATACTTGGAAAGAAAAGTTGGCCAGTAGGACAAGAAGGCGTGGCTAAGAGAGGAGAACCTGGAGAGCAGAACTGTGGTTCCAGATGATCAGTAATGTAAAAGATGCTACAGGGAACACAAGTAAAGCACAGACTCATGCTGGGCTTAAGGGAGTGGAACTTACAAAAATAATTTCGGTGGATTTGTGTTATTTTAAGTTTGACCTGGGTGGGCTCAAGGAGAGAACTGGGGTCAGCCAGCACAGAGCACTCTTGGAATTTGTTAGGTGAGGAGGGAGAGGAACAGGGTAGAGAGCCTTTAAAGTCCATTACAGTAGGAAAGCCAGGGAGTGGGAGGGACCAGGAGAGGGGAGCTGGACGGAAAGTAAATAAATAACTTAATAATTAAAAATGGCTCCATGGTTAGGAGCACCAACTGCACTTCCAGAGGTCCTGAGTTCAATTCCCAGCAACCACATGGTGGCTCACGACCATCTGTAATGGGCTCTGATGCCCTCTTCTGGTGTGTCTGAAGACAGTTAAGTGTACTCACATACATAAATAAATCTTTTTAAAAAATTTTTTAAAAAAAAAAATACAAATACTTAACAGAAAAGCAAAACAAAGCAAAAAGAAAGCAAGTCGGGGAGTAGGGAGAAAAGAGAAGAAAATCAAAATAGTAAGAAAACCAGAGAATGTAGCCACCCAGGACAAGTGAGCAGGCAGGCTTTGTGGGAAGCTGCTGTAGAAATTGTCAAAACAGTCTTCTGGAGAAGGGACAGCTAACCCAGGCTTGAAAAGGACTGGTCAGATTGGAAGGTCTTTAACAATGTACACACAAGCATGCTAAAAGCATGGTTCTGTAAGGACAAAGGCAGGAAGGGAAGGTGGTCATTACAATCTAAGGGTAGGTGGCCTCAGAACACGATGCAGGTGACAGGTATGAGGACAGGGACATGCATTTCCAGTTGTTTCTTCTTCCAGGGCAGCCTTGGAAACAAAAGATGTCAAGGATCTGGAGACTAGGGTATTTACTGGGTCCAACTGAAGTGGCTATGGACTTCTGGTGGCTTACAATAGCAGCAGTAGTCACAGGCTTAGGAAGAGGCAGGCAAAGTCCTCCCAAGATGTAAAGGACCACACAGCACCTAACACACATGGGCCCTTTTAAAAATACAGTTATGGTGGTCAGAGTGAGTGTTCTGGGCATTCTACATCAGCATAGTGGCAACAGTGGTGAGAGTCTAACTGAATTTACAGCCAGGGTACAGACTCATGATCTATGTTCTCTTGAGAAGTCTGAAAGAAGTGGCTCCTCCAAAGAAAGGAACACACATGAGAACGGGGGTGTATGGCACTGGGGGAAAGCTGTGTTGCATGTGTGTATTGTTGTGACTGAACCAAAAGTTCCACACGTCACAGTGGGGAAGCAGCCAGGAAAGGTGCCATGGAAGGGTGGCAGGTGCAGTGGAGGCTGAGCTGCAAGGGTGACAGAAATAAGCCAACAATTTCTATGGCTATGAAAAACAGCAGACTAACGTAGGCTGAAGCAGCATTGTGTGGTAAAAACAAAAACAAAAACAAAAAATCAAAAACTAGAGTTCTGAGTTCCCATACCCCATCTAGCAAGTAAATACTCTGAATTAAGATCTTTGTAAGACAAGTGACAACAAAAACCAGACCCCAATCTAAATCCAACTTAATGAGGATTCATCACGTCTCAAATTGGACATTGTAGAAGGGAGGCCAGAATCTTGGGGTATTTAACTAAGTCATGGCAGTGACGGGCCCATGAATGTCACTGATGAAGTTGTTCTCCCTGCTCTGCCATTTAGGGCGGTGCCTTCATTCCTAAGTTTGGTTCCACACCATGGCCACCTGGCGGTCAACAGCAACACTTCCTTTTATCCATCTGAAGAGCATTCCTCTTGGAAATTTTCTCAGATGAGAAAATCTAATTTTTCTAAAACCCCAGCAGACTCTCCTGAGTGTCATCTGAACCAGTTCTGTGTGCTGGGAACATGAGAACTGGCTCAGGCAGACTGACCCAACTGGTACTTGGCAATGGGGAGTTAACACTGGTTTGTGTAGCATGTAAGGCCCACGTCTGCAGATGTGGCTGAGTCAGCTCCCATACAAGGAAACCAATAAAAATATGACTGTTAGGAAGAACGAACGTAACAGGAAGAAGAGCTAGGTGAACACTAAATCAACACCCTTTGATGGTATCTGGCCTTTTCTTTTAGAAGTTCTTGGAGACAGACCTAAAGAAGAAACCTGAAGAAAATACAGGTAGATAAGGGAGGAGAGCTAAAAGCAATTTGGGAAGAGTCCAAAGCAAGGTCAGCGATAGGAGCAGAGCCGAATATTCATGTTCCGCTGGTGTTTCCCAAGCTTACTTTTTCTAAGAGCGGATGAGGGCCAAATCTATTCATCTCTTTACCTGACTATGCCCCTAAATGTTCAGGCTCCCAGCTTATACCAAGGGGCTCACCCCAGAATTCAAGTATGAATCCCTCCTAGACTCAGGTTTATTTTCTAAGTATCAGTGCTGGGGATGGAATTTTAGACTTCCTGTATAATATGCTCTCCAGATGAACTATAACCCCAGTCCACCTAAGAGTCATTTCTAAAATATTAGAATCCACTTTCCAGGTAAATTGTACTTTGGTTGATCCATGATGACCCCTATAGCTGACATCCTCCTGCCTCCATGGAGACATTTGCTTTGTTTTGAATACCGTTTTTTTTCTGTTTGAGAATGTTCCATCTTATAAGTGAAGTTCAAATGCTGTTCTCTGATACAGCCTTCTTCTGTCCCGACACGCGCATGTCCTCAGTTCTCTCACTAGAATCACTAGCACTAGAGTATACGTTTCCGCCCGACATGGTTAGATAGAACAGTACAATGACTGTGTTCCCCGCCTCACGGTCCATGTTCATTCTTTATTTGTTCTTACCAGAGGAGGGGTGGAAACAGAGGGAGGGAGGGTGAGAGGGAGGGAGGGAGGAAGGGAGAACCACCAAGGGTATGCACTGTGTGGCACTACAATGCTGATGAATAGGTAAGGCATTCGTAACTAGTTGACACTAACACTGTTGCAATAGGACTTTGTGTTCCCCGCTGAGAATCTGTTGGTGGGGCTGAATCAAGTTATCAATTCCCATTCTGTTCATCTTCTGTTCTCAGAACCATATCTTGGCAAAGCCCTTGCCTAACTAGGCTTTGAACTCATGAGGCTGACTCTCTCCTGCCAAAGCAAAGAATGAGATGACTTAATAAAATCCCTCACTGATTCAGTGGTAGGATGAATAAAAAAACCATGCGTGGGGCTGGAGAGATGGCTCAGTGGTTAAGAGCACTGACTGTTCTTCCAGAGGTCCTGAGTTCAATTCCCAGCAACCACATGGTGGCTCACAACCATCTGTAATGGGATCTGATGCCCTCTTCTGTTGGATCTGAGGACAGCTACAGTGTACTTATATACCTAAAATAAATAATTCTTGAAAAAAACAAAACAAAACCCCATGCCTGCCTTTAAAACTACTGAGCCATTCTGGTTTCATTCTGGCATCATAAAAATACTATCATTTCAATTATTTGGTGCCTATAATCCCAGTACTGAAGAGGGGTAGGTCCCTGGGACCTCCTGGCCAGCCAGTCTAGCAAAGTCAGTGAGCTTCAGATTCAGTGGGAGACCCTATGTAAGATGAGTCAGAGGAAAATTCTTATGTGGCAACCAAGGTTGGGTGTGCTCTTAGATTCACTCATTCAACAGTAGGTATAATTACCACACATACCTGGTATTATTCTAGATGGGGCACACTGATGAACTAAGGACCAGAGGGAGGAAAACCAAACTCTGCTCTTGACGATGTGTAAACTAGAGTAGACTGTAGACTAAATACATACACAGCCACAGAACATTTGAAATTAACATACCTATTAACATATGCAGTACACTGTTTGCTTTTTCTATTTTTTTATTTAATGCTGATACAATGTATTAAACCATTAAGCTGCCTTCTCAGCTCATAAACAGGCTGACATTTGTACTTTAAAAAATACTTGCCTAAATTAGTATGACAATAGTCAGTTGTGTTGCTGTTCCTATTTTTTGTTTGTTTTTGAGACAGAGTTTCTCTGTGTAGTCCTGGCTGTCCTTGAACTCACTCTGTATACCAGGCTGGCCTCCTGCGCTCTGGGATTAAGTGTGTGCCACCACTGCTTGGTGCAGTCCCCATGTCATAGAGGGCATGGCATGCATCACCCACCAGGATCCCAACACTGGAGCTCCACTCAGGGCCTCAACTGAGTTTGGTGCTAACTTAACACTACAGTTTCATTCCTGAAACTCATTCTTTTTCATACTTCTTTGGGAGGGGGCTGGGGTCTCTCTGTAGTCCGGGCTGGCCTTGAACTCACAGTGATTCTCCTGCCTTACCTGAGTGCTAGGTTTACAGGCATGAACCACCACACTGGTTAACTGGAAATGTGACCATTGTCTGGGTGTCCCTTCATCATCTACAGATTTCTAACCCTACTCAGACTGCAGTGTACTCCAAGATTCCTGTCTTGTGCCATAACTGCTTAGTTCATAACAACTTGAACGGCAGAGTGGGATCCTCAACAATGTCACCTCCCCATATGCAGGTCTCTGTCACCTTTTTACTGTGTCCCTCGAACACAGTACACACCAGAACAGGTATTTATAGATACTCACGGAAACGAGTGCTACCCACAGCAGACCACTGCAAAGTCCTAGTTAGTGGGATGGTACTGTCAGCAGGACAACATCTAGAACCACTGAGATGAACCTCTGGGAATGTGTTGGGGAATGACTCTGACAGTATTAACTGAGGTAGAAGCTCCACCCATTGTTGAGAGGCACCACTTCCCAGCTAGAACACTGGTCTATGTAGAGCGCAGTAGCATCCATTCTCTGTTCTCTAACTCTTGACTGGAATGGGATGTGACCAACTGCTCCTCTGCCTCGACCTTCCAGACCATGATGGACTGTGTCTCAGTGTGAGTCTAGATAAGCCCTTTCTCCCTTAAGTTGTTTCCATCAGGGCGTTTTATCTGACACAGGAAAGGAAAACAAGCACCTAGATTACAGAGTCCCGTAGCAGGCAAAGGCTTCGACAATGGAAAACCTATACACAAGTTTTATCTTCCTAACATCAGTAGATAGACTTAGAACCATGTCAGTATGTCAAGGGTCACACTCAACAGAAACTTATCGAATTCAAGAAAATGAAGACTACTCAGAGAGAAGCTGGATGGGCTTCTGGAAGGACAGGAGCGAGAGGGTCCCTGGGTCAGCAGCAGACACAAGGGAGCAGTGTGGTAACTGGGATGGTTCCATCTTATTCAATGGAGAATCAGGTCAAGCTCCTAAGGCTGTTTACAACTGCTTCGTTCACACTGAGCCGGACGGTGCTATGTGGTTGGTGAAAACACCCACAGGAAACCATCAGAAGGGAGGACAACTATGGCTGAAGACTGACCCAACTGAAAATGTTTAAACTCCCCAGCAGCAGAGAAGATGTAGATGCAGGCAGTTACACAGGGTGATGAGGCTCGATCTGTAATCTTTAAAGTTCTAAGTTCAATCCACGGGAACAGAAAATGACAAGATCCTTACAAAATAACTCCCTTATAAAATATAATTTTAATCATGACATTTTTGTGTAAGGTATTATACTTTTCACACTTTAATCAAATTCTAATTCTACAGGGCAAAGGGGGGGGTAGTGGGAGGTACATATGTAAGTAAGCACCTCAGTTCTTGTCAAAGTTTGGCTCTGTTGAGCAACTTGCTTAACCTTATTTAAAATGATTTAAAAGGCCTTAATTTGCCTAATTTTAAGTTCTCAATTAGATAAAAAAGAAAAAAAAGAAAAAAAAAGCCCACTCAGGCACACACTTCTGTAGCAACATGAAGTGAAGACCCATGCGTTCACAGCTGCCGTATTACCTGAGCTGCGTCATAACAGTATTTAGTCACGTCATCTGTTTGCTATCATAGTAGCATGTACTTGAAAAAGATTTAAGACTGGTTGGTCATTTAGTCTGACTTGGAGTTTTCTTTTAAAATTCAGAGTAGGAGAACTAGTTATTAGCTTAGGCCTATTTCTAGATAGTTTGTTTCTTAACACAAGAAACCACAAAGAAGTATGTAAGCCTATTCTTCACATTTTTAAAAAGCATCCCCATTTCTTTAAAGTTAGGACTATTAATGGCTCTTTTGTTTGTTTTTGGTTGTTTTTTGAGGCGCAGTCTCATATACCTCAGACTGGTCTCAAAATCACTACCTAGGCAAGGATGGCCTTGAACTCCTGATCTTCTGCTCTGATCCTGTGTGCTGAGACCACAGGCGTGTGCCGTCAGAGCTTGTCTGCGGTGATGGGGTCAAGCCCAGGGCTTCCCGAGTGATTGTTTAGCCCAACTTGTTGAAGGTGATGCAGAGTTCAGGAGACTACGCGATTCCGAGTCTGAGGGAGGGAAGTCAGTCCAATGGCAATGCAAAGTCGTCAGTCTCGGCCAGCACAGCCAGGTCCTCCGCTGCCACCACGTCCCGGAGTCTCGGCGCCCAGCTCCTTTTTCTTTCCCCTCACTTACTTATTCCTTTCTTTAAAGAAACAAAAGCTAAGTTCTCCAAAGTTCTCAAAGTCAGAGTTTGTATAGAGCTGAGTGAGAACTTTGACATTTGATATTACAAAGTCCCTTTATCACAGACACTTTCTTCATTCGGGGTCAAGGCGAGGTAAAACGGGGAGAATAAGATTCCCAAATGCAGAGTCTTGAGTTATGAAGTATCCAGATGAGTGTGCATGAGCATGCTGAGAAAGATAAAAACAAAATACAGGGAAAAAAAAAACCAACAAAAAAACCCAATTAAGTTATTAAGTCACATTTTTTTTTTAAAACCAAGGCATTAAAATTCCTTCTGCATTCTGCATTCCTAAGATCTGGTTTACTCATAAACCAGCATTCATGCTAACTTTGTTTACACAGACAGACAGTAACACCATTCAGATTACACACCAGGCAGGCCTTTAGCAGCCTCTTTATCTGTCTCTATGGGGCTCTCTCCCAACAGCAGTCATGACGGCTTTGTTCTTTGGTGTCAGGAGAAATAGCAGCAAAGGTCATGAGACAAAAAGCCTGGGAGAGAGGAGCAGCCTGGGAAGGGACGAGAACAGTGACACCGATGACTGAAACCCACCAACGCTGAGGCAGCGCTGGAAAGGAACTTCCTATCAGTAAATAAAGAAATTACTATCAGTAGTTTACCTCTCAATTTTAAAAAAAGGCTCTTTTTAGTCATTTGAAGTGAGAGAGAATCTTTATAATGTCCTTTCCAATAATGGGATTCTCCCTAAAAGCAAAGGCAATTTCACTAGACCTTTCAAATTTTTATTTTTTAAGTTTTATGATATAGGGTTTTGCTACATAGCCTAAGCTGGCCTAGAACTCAAGAAAGAACCTCCTAGGTCCACCCTTGAAGTGCTGATATTACAAGAGTTACACAGATAATCTACCCAAAAAAAAAAGGTGTTTCATCCAAGATCTCTGAGAATCCCAGTTGTATAAGATGAATGTAATACTAAAATGATTACTTTGTTTCCAAGCTGGGACATCACTTACAGCATGACAGTAAGAGCTTATCCCATACAAACATTGCAGATCATTAAAAAATACCCAAATAGTAACCCAGGAAGACAATCACATAAAGTAATACCGTGACAAATCTGAAAATACTTATGGTGCTATTTATTAAACTAGCCAGTTCAATTTTCAAGATCATTCTGTCCAAATATTTTGTGAACAAGAAATCCCTTGGCAATCTCAGAGCAGAGGATCCATCATGACTGCATTAACACCATAAAAGATACTTTCATCATTACTGTACCAGTCCTTCAATCCCCATGGGCGTGAGTGAACATTGGCAAACCACCACAATTATATGTGGAACAAGTTTATGGATATTGCTCCACTGAGATACACAGTCACTGCTCTGCTGGCTTCCTGACCCTCGAAGTGGCCAAGGCGAGCAGACCGTCGGATCCCTGTGCTCACCTGCAGAGCGGCTTTCTGCTGGGCTGCGATGTGCTGTTGCTCAGCGTGGTCCCGGAAGTCCTTACTAAGAGAGGGTCTGGAGAGGGAGAGGCTAAAATGGAAATCTTGGTTACTTGGCTACCAACACAGAGATACTTTCTTTCTTTTTTTTAAATAGTTATATAAGGGGATTTATTAGATTGGCACATTTTTATTATAGTAAATTACTTTTAAAAATTGAGGTTCAACTTACATATAAAATTGTACATATTTTGATACCTATATACACTAAAATTATAAAATCAAACTGAATAACCTATCCATCACGTCATATGCCACTATTTTTATTATGAGATAGATACAGGATCTCTGTAATTTTCAGCTACACATAATTATTAACTGATCACCATGCTATATAATAAATCTGAAGAGATATCATGTTTTGTTCTTTAATCTGTGGTACTAGAAATCACACCCTAGGCCTCAGCACACTCAGCAGACTGAACCACTGAGCTAAACCCTAAGCCTCTATGGATTTACACTGAATCTTAGAGTTTTCATTATGTACTCTTTTAAAAAGGTTTTATTTTATTTTATTCCCATGATGTAATGGGAATGAGCAGAAGATGAGCACAGTTAGGAGTGTTTAAGTAAGGGGAAGCTTAGAGTGTAGACCTAATTCTGACATAACAGGACCTCCAAAGAGCTTGAGGCAGCACTTTTCCCTGTAAGGATGTTTAAGAATGGTATTTCCAAAGAACAGTCAATACCTAGCTCCAGGGTGACTTGCTGAAGATTGGTTCTGCATAAGTAATTTTCTTTTCTCTTTGTCCAGTTCAGCCAAAATTGCAACTCTATTTTTATTTTGAAAACCTAAAGAAGAAAAGAGGGAGAATTAGAAGCATTTTAGAGCTGGGCCATGTAGAAACCAGAAAGCAAAATTCCTATTCTCTAACATGGTCATACAATCGCCAGTAAGTTCTTTCTTCCTACTGGCCATTTCCAGCAACTTTAAGAGCATAAAACACTACCAGACTTGGTGGCACACACCTATAATCCCACCTCTTGAGAGGTGGAGTTCAAGGCCAGCCTGGGCTACATTAGACCCTATCTCTTAAAACAAAAAACCCAATAGGTCAGTTGGTAGTGTTTGCTAAACATGCACAAAAGCCTGGGTTCAGCCTCCAATATAGTATGAAGCAGCTGTGGTGGTGCACGGCTATGTCTGAAGTTCACAGTCATCACCTTTTACTATGCAGCCCATTCCAGGCCAGTCTGGAGTACATGACACCCTGACTTAGAAACAACAAAAACCCAAAAGCCCAGTAATGGCAGCATACACCTTTAATTCCAATGTCCTCAGGAGACCGAGACAGGTGGACAGCTGTGAGTACGGGTGCGCTGAGATGGCTCACAGGAGTACTGGCTGCTCTCAAGAGGACCTGGGTTCCTCAGCACCCACGTGGAAGCTCACAACACACTTACTCCAGTCCCAGAGCATTGGGTGCCATCTTCTAACTTCTGTAGGCACCAGACATGCTTATGGTGCACAGACATACTGTAAGCAAAACACCCAAACATGCTTTAAAAAAAAACACCCCTCCCACACACAAAATAAAAACAAAACAAACAAAACCAAGAACATAGTAGATGGGTACATAGCAAAATAAAAATGAATGAGGACTTTTAAGAGTCATTCATCTTATCTATCTATCATCTATCTATCTATCTATCTATCTATCTATCATCTATCATCTATCTAGTGGTTGTAGGACTTAGGCCTTGGATATACCAGGCAAACATTCTACCACTAACTACAATCTCAGCACCAAGATTCTGATCTAAATAATTTTGCTCACCAAGGTATGGGTTACAGCATTTATTTTGGACAAAATTTGGGGACCCAATGAATATATTGCACAGAACTCATTCATAAAAAAAATTATTATGTACAGTCAGATCAAATTCTCAGCTACTTTCATTCAGAAATGATACTATTTTTTTTTTAAGAAACAGCCAAAGAATTGCAAGTGGCCAGAAAGCAATCCAAAGAAGTAGAGTACAAATTATGGGATATAGACACCTCCTTTTATCAAATATTTAGTATTTAACTTGATTCTAAGCTTCAAACTTAGATAAGATCTCAGCACTTTTACAAAGTGTCCTGAAGCAGGCAGCAGGCAGCTAAACTTTTAAGAATCCAAATTAAAGCTGGGCTGTGGTGGCACATGCCTTTGATCCCAGCACTCAGGAGGCAGAAGCAGGTGGATCTGTGTTCAAGGCCAGCCTGCTCTACAGAGTGAGTTTAAGGACATCCAAGGCTACACAGAGAAACCTTGTTTCAAAAACAAAACAAATCCAAATTAAATGCCAGCATGTCAACAGTGAAGGACTCTGCTCTAAATTCTCAGATCTCTAGCCTCTCGCTGCAAGCCTATCTCGTGATCTGCTAACAAGGGATGTGTGCCCCCACAGCAGCAAAGACCAGAACCAAAAGGAATATTCTCCCTCTAGCAGGCCATTCTCAAGCTCTATAATGCTGAGCAGACTTGTTTGTATGTCCTTAGGTATCTGCAGCTGATGATCCCTAGCTAGAAAAACAAAGCACAACAAACCCACCAAGGCTACCGAGGAGACAATTAGAGCTCCAGAGACTGGACTATAGAATGAGAGCGTTTTCAAGCAGAGTAGACCTAAGCACACTGAAATACCCATCTGAGGGAGCGTGAGACTTTTACACTAATTTAGAGAGAACTAGCTGGTGGAAACATCCCAGAGAGGAGAGACTGGTTAGGATGGCATATAGATGCTGGCCTAAGCAGACATGGCTCTAACTAGCAGTTCTAAATTTAACCAGGCACCAGCAACCTGGCTATGGCCAGAAGGTTGAGAAAATATGTCTATGCTATATCCACTTTAGCAATTTATCCTCTCCCAGTTTCTGTCTCTGCTCCTGTTATACCACCAAATTCTAGTGACAGCAGAGTCCTTCTGAACAGCTGACCAGGGCAGTACATTCTGACATTTCTAAAAAGATGGTTTTATGAGCCTTCCAGACAATTCTTCATCCTAACTCTAAACTCCTTTCCTCCTGACATGCTCCCTTAGGAAAACAGGACATCAACATCAACTGTCATGTCACTGAAATGCCCCTTTCTCTTTCCCAGGTAAGGTGAGCTTATCCCAAGTATAGTGGGATCAGAATCGACTAGTTCTGTATGTAGCTGGAATCTGTGCTGTTCTACTCCAGTGTCAGTCATTGCTTGGTCATACAAGAGCAAAGCAGCTAATGATGTCATTGAGTATGGAGTAACTTCCACAGTGAAGACACACTACAGAGCTGGGTATGGTCACCCAACCCACACTTTGAGGGCACTCTAATTTTGGATGCAGAAGCAGCAGGATCAGGAGTTCAAGGCTATCTTCAGCTGCATAGTAAGGTTTTTGAGGCCAGCCTGAGCTACATCAGACCCTGTTACAAGGGAAAAAAAAAAAGCACAAAGTTGACTTTAAAAGACAAAACAAAAACAGTTTAGGCTAATCTGACTATCGATTCAAATATTAAGAAGAGAACAGTCAACCAGGTATGATGACACACACCAATAACCCCAGCCCAAGAGCTCCAACAGGAAAACTGCTAGGAATTCGAGGCCAACCTGGACTACTAGTAATGAATGAGTTCTAAGCCCGCATAAGCTAAAAATAAACAGAGACTGGAAGAGGGAGAAAGACAGGGAGAGGGAGAGAGACAACAGGAGATTCCCCGAATTACAGCTTAAGTAACTGTTAGGTTACTCAACTATTAGGCTTTTGAAATTCCCAGGCGCTTTTATTTGTGGAGGGTCTACACTATATGACAACTAATATTTTAAAAATAAGCTCATTTCTAGCACTGAATGTTTCTTCTTAGAAAAATTTTGAAATGATTTTTGCTTTGCCTTTTAAATTATTGCTTCATAATCATATATAATGCTACAGAATGCTTTCTTTCTTTCTTTTTTCTTTTCTTTCTTTTTTTTTTTTCTCTGTATAGCTCTGGCTGTCCTGGAACTCACTCTGTAGACCAGGCTGGCCTGGAACTCAGAAATCCGCCTGCCTCTGCCTCCCAAGTGCTGGGATTAAAGGTGTGCACCACCACTGCCCGGCTTCCAGAATGCTTTCAAATAAAAGAAATACCAAGTTTATACATTGTTCAAATGTAATGAAAACTTAAAGACTGTAACAGTTGACACTTTTGAGCTAGGCATAGTAATAATACTGAAACCCCAGCACTTGAAGGCAGGGCCACGTTGCCACAACCTGGAAGTTAGCCTGGTCTATACTTTCAGTTTAAAGCCACCCAGCAAGGCATCGCAAAACAAACAAGAAAAAACTAAGTTTGTTTATGTAATAATTTCTTTTTTCTAGTAGCTGAAGATGGTCTTGCAATTTTGATCTTCCTGACTCCACCTCCCAAGTGCTGAGAATACAAATAAAAGCCACCACATGTGAAAACCAAAATTATGTTTTAGGTTTTAATTTACTGATCCATCAAACTTTGCCTCTAACCTGTAAGCCCCTGCCCAAGGACAGATGGTTCCTGAGGTGCTGGAGGCTATTGTACATATAATAAGCCACATGTTTTCATTTCCCTAAGCAAGTCCAGTTAACTCAACTGCACCAGATATGCTTGATCACACCTAGGTGGGAGGTACATAGTCAGGATGCATGCTTGCATCTCACTGGACAAAGGCAGGAAGTATGTGCTCTTATTGGTTTGCTCTTGTAAGCACCTGGCCAACATAGCTTGTGGCCATTTTCTGGAAAACCCAGAATGGACCTGGCCAGAGTCCATCATTCTAGCCAGCATTTAATTAAAGCTTGCTTCAAATTTGGCTCAAATTTGTAGTAGTGTTCTTATTCTTGCCTGATTAACACATGCCTGTTTTCATTAGGTGCTGTGCATGGAATTCAGCCCTGAGTATATGGGTCTCATCAAATTTCAGTTTTATTCTCACATTTAAAAGAGTTTGGAAGAGCAGTAAGTGCTCTTAACTGCTGACTCACTTCTCCAGCCCCAATAACCCACTTCTCAATTACAGTTATTGTACTGCTTTTACACAACTGTTAGGGGCTCAGTGGTTAGAACACGGGCCAAAAAACCTGGATTCAATTCCCACCACCCACAGGGAAGCTCACAACCGTCTATAATTCTACTTCAGTAGATCCAACACCCTCACACCGACATATGTTCAGGCAAAAACACTATTACATACGAAACAAAACCAGGACTTTAAAAAAAATAATGTGAATGCTAATGGCTCTCCTCCAGCTGCATACTCTCACAACGATACAGTACAGCAAAGTGCTGGAATTAAAGGCATGTGCCACCAGGGCCCAGCTCTGGATCTAAAGGTACAAATGCAAAAACTTTTAAGAGAAATTTCCTTTCAATTCCTAGTAACCACATGGTGGCTCACAACCATCTGTAATGGGATCTGATGCCTTCTTCTGGTGTGTGTCTCAAGACAGCTACAGTGTACTCATATAAATAAAAATAAATAAATCTTTTAAAAAGAGAAAATGTCCTGACTTACTGGAATACATCAATGATACTTGAGAGGTGGCACATCTTAAAATACAAGCCTGAAGGATCCCTTTGCTCCCTTTGCTAAACCTCAGAATTAAGTAAAGGCCAAACAGGATGGTTCCTAGGAGCCATGCCAAGAGAGCACCTAGAGTGACCCCAAGTCAACAATGGCCACCTGCTCTCCAGGTCTTCCCATTACCACTATTCCAAGAAACTATGAAATGAGTTTCCATTCCTTTCCTATGTATTACACAGGCTCTCTGACATCAAGGTGGACTGATCTGGCTGCCACCTTTACCAATACGGGAGAACTGAGACACCATTCAAGGTATAGAAATCGGGAGGCAGGCTCGATTCTTCAATAGGAAAAGGTGCTTGCTTGCCACACAGCCCTGGCAACCTGGGTTCAACACTGAGGCCCACAAAAAAGGGAGAAAGAGAGATGAGATAAAGTTGCCTTCTGACCTCCACATGACCTCCAGGGCCTACATGCTTACACATATATACATTGCATGTATATAATCTAAAAACAAAGGATACAGAAATGGTACCTTAGCCAAATCCTAGTTTGATGGTCTGTCTCTGCATATCAAATTTCTCCAAAAAAAGGATAAACTTCTCAAGATGTTACAACTTATCAGCTTATGAATCAGAATTATTGAGAACCACCAGCAAATGGTCCACACTACACTGGATTATGAAAAGTAGGACTCTAGTGACTGTCAAAAGCTCATCAAATTTAGAAATCCTGATTACTAGTATACTATGAAGACTACTAGTCTAAAGATGGGTATTTTTTCTTTTCTTTTTCACTATCCTAAACCATTTGAGGAACTCCAGCTGGTCTAAGGTGCTTGCTGACAAGCCTGAGAACCCCAGTTTGCTCTCTTCCACACGGTGGAAAGAGAACCAACCCCAGCAAATTGTCTCCTGACTTACACACACACTTACACACACACACACAGGCATACACAGATCAACTATAATAAAAAGGTATTATGTGTGTAAGCATTCTGCCTGCATGTCTGTCTGTGTGCCACATGTGTGCCTGGTGCCTGAGGAAGCCGTGAGGGTATCCAATCCCATGAAACTGGAATTACAGACAATTATGAGCTGCCACATGGGTGCTGGGAATTGAGCCCAGGACTTCTGAAAGAGCAGCCACTACTCTTAGCCACTGACATCTCTCTAGTCCCTAAATTTTAAAACATTTAAAAAAGTATTAATATCTGAGAAAACAAAAATATAAGTGATTTAATTTGGCACTGTTTCAGAGGCTTTGGTGCATGGCTGGCTGACTCCATTATTTTGGGCTTGAGGTGAGGCATAATTTCCTGATGGCAAGAGTATATGGCAGAGGCTGTTTACATCACAGCAGCTGGAAAGCAGACAGAACAGGGCCGAGATGTTCAAAGCCCTCCCGACCCCAAACTCAATTCCTCCAGTCACATCCCATCCTTACACAGATGCACTACCTCCTAACAGTCTTTTGAATTCTGAATCCATCAACAGATCAAACTGATTAGCTGGATCCCTTATGATTTAACTGCTTCTTACCTATTCTCACAAATCTCCCCAATGTGCTTAACTACCTTCTAAGCTCTCCTAATGCAATGAAGCTAATAATTACTTAAGTAAACACAATGGATATTTGGCCCCTGCACCAGAGACATTAATGAATTATAAGGCATATACTAACACTTTTTAAAAAAATCATGTTTCTTTTTGTTACTGTTCAAGAGTAACCGAGCTGGGCAGTGGTGGCGCACACCTTTGATCCCAGCACTTGGGAGGCAGAGGCAGAGGCAGAGGCAGAGGCAGAGGCAGGCGGATTTCTGAGCTTGAGGCCAGCCTGGTCTACAGAGTGAGTTCCAGGACAGCCAGGGCTGCACAGAGAAACCATGTCTCAAAAAAAAAAAAAAAAAGAGTAACTGAGGCACCCATCAACCTCCATCTAATTTCTATACAAATAAACAATTGAGAAATACAGATGGTATACTAAAGGTGGAAAAATACATTAAGGATTTAAAATTTGTATTGAGGAGCTGCAGAGATGGCTCAGCAATCAGGAGCAGTGGTTGCTGTTTCAGAAGACCCAGGTTTGATTTCCAGCACCCACATGGTGGTCACAGCTGTAACTTCAGTCCCAGGGGACTTGCGATCTTCTAGCCCCCAAGGATACTGCATGCACGTAGTATATAGACAATACAGGCAAAACATTCAAACACGTAAAATAAGAGTTCCAGGCTAGCCGGAGGGTGGTGGTCCCAGCACTCAGGATACACAGACAGGCAAATCCTCATGAATTTGAGGCCACCCTCGTCTACAGAGTGAATTCCAGGACAGCCAGAGCAACATGGAGAAACCCTGTCTTGAAAAACAAAAATGAAGAAACCAAAAAAACCAAACCAAACAAAACAAAACAAAAACCCTGGGCCAGCCAGGTCTATACAATAAGATCCTATCTCAAAATAAATAAATGAACATCAACAAATATTATTTTTTTAACTTTTCACTGAGGATCTGCAAGTCTATAGAACACAACACAGACTCCCTCTGCTGGTGTCCAACAGCAGCAGCTCCGTAATACCAACAGAATTCCTAACAGAGTAATGAAAGTCAAATGTCTTCTCCAACTAACTACTCTTTAGATTTTGGATGCTTCATAGTAGATCTGACTATGAGCAAACCAAAAGTAGCACTAACAATAGTTACTCCTACTACAACTGAAAAAAAAAAAAAGTTACCAGCAAATTTTATATTTATAGATTATAAAGTATTTATTTTGTGTAAATTGTTTGGGTTTTTTTTTTTTTATTTTTTTTTTTTTAGCATTTTTTTTCCTTTCCTAAATGAACTTCTCTTAGCTTTCATTTTGGCTCGTTTTGGCAGAGGTTGGGGAATACCGAGGATCTGATACAAATTACTTTAATCTGAACCGTTCTAATTCAATTTTTAAAAGAAATTAAAAGACCATAAATACAACATTTACCTGATCAAACATACCTAAAAGTTAAACAGTTCAGGCCTGCTATGGAAAGAGACCTGTTTCAAGTATTAGCATAAAAATACTTACAAAATGATAGCTAATACTTTCTTTCTTTTTTTTTTTTTTTTTCTTTTGGTTTTTTTGAGACAGGGTCTCTCTGTGTAGCCCTGGCTGTCCTGGAACTCACTCTGTAGACCAGGCTGGCCTCGAACTCAGAAATCCACCTGCCTCTGCCTCTGCCTCCCAAGTGCTGGGATTAAAGGCGTGCACCACCACTGCCCGGCTTGGCTAATACTTTCTAAAGACTACATTTCATAAGCCAGGTGTGGTGGCACATGCTTTTAATTCCAGCACAAGGGAGGCAGGCAGAGCTCTATGTCGGAGGCCAGCCTGGTCTACATAGTATGTTCCAGGCAGCCAAGAGTACATACATATCTTGTCTCCAAAGAGAGAGAGAAAGAGAGAGACTATCTGGCACATACTTGTAATCCTAGCAATTAAGAGGCTGAAGCAGGAATACCACAAGTTCAAGACATAGATAGCCCTCAAAAAGCTAAAAACATTGAATAAATTTTCATTTCGGTAAAACATTTTTTTTTGAAAATTTCTTAACAACAACTTGCATCTAACTTAATTAAAGAAGGTAACAGGTGAAATGATTGAAGGTTTTACAGCAATGAAGATAAAGGCCTGGTTATTATTGGATAACAGTTTTAAAAGCAAGCAAACAGATGCCAGATGACATAGTTTATGATGCGGGCTGGGGAGGTGGTTCAGTGGTTAAGCAAGCACTTGTTCCCTAAATCATGAGGACCAGGCTTTAGATCCCTAGAGCCCACACATATGCTATGTAATTTCAGCCTTGGAAGGCAGAGAGGGAGCCCTAGAAAAAGCTGGCTAGCAAGAGTAGCCAATGGATTTGACTGAGAGACCCTGCCTCAATGAGTTAGGTGCAAAGTGCTGGACGATGATTCTCCATGTTAACCTCCAGTCTCCACATGCACGCATGCCCGCCCCTCCACACATGCACCCACACACATGCAAGCATGCATATAACACAGATGCACACTATACAAAGGCAAATGGAAGAAGAAAAGTTTACCATGTGAATCACTAATCTTAACAGGTTAAAATAAAGAATTAGTAATATTAAAAATATGCTGCTGATACAGTGTTAAGCTGATTTTAAATGGGGGGGGGAGATTCCACTTGGCTATTCATAATTGTGGATGCAGTAACTGCTCTATACTGAATTTTCTCTACTTCAAATACATTTACTGTATGGGAGAACGTTCCTACTAATAACAGAAATCCCAGCATGCATTACCTTGTCCTGAAGGATTTGCTGCCATCTTCCTATTCTGTTTCAATTATATTCAGTGGCCACTGATCAGGACTTTACAATCATCTGTAAAAAAATTTATGTGCACACATAAAATGCACTGGCCTTAAATTCCAGTCTCAAAATTGTGAAGAACAGCTGGGCTGAGTTCGGTTTCTTAGTCTCTTTAGAAAGATACACATAAAAAGCACAGACTTAAATCAGAAATTTAGCGCTGCAAATTCCTCATGCACTTCATTAAATGAACATTTTTTTTTTGTCTTGAAGTTCTTAATACCAACATTTAGCATTACTCTTAATTTACATCATCAAGATGTATTTACCAAATCTATCAACCTTTTGAAAGTATCCACATAATCAGTGCTAGGAAGAAAAATAAAATTCTATAAAAATCATTCTCTGTTCATTTAAAAACAAATTCCAGCATTTGCTGTGCTGGTGAAAGAAAGAAGAAAAGAAAGAACCAACCAACCTAACAAGTATCTACACTGCGCCATACATTGTGTAAGACGTTTCCCAAAACAATGTTTTTAATGAGCATTTTTATATATGTGAAGGCCAACTGTCACAAAACTAGTAAGCGAACTTGGACTCCTGGTTTCTTTGTGTGTGTGGTGTATGCCCAGTGGGGAGCGTGCGTGAGAAGGCCAGAAAAAGGCATTGGATGCCTTGTGCTGTCACTCTCCACCCTGTTCCCTTGAAAACAGGGTCTCTCACTGAGCCGGGAGCTAGGCTGGCAGCCAGCCATCCTCACCGATCCTCCGTCTCTGCCTTCCCTCAGCTCTGGGGTGCAGGCGCTACAGCCACACCTTGGGCATCGGACATGGATGCCGCAGATTCCAACACAGACCCTAATGCTTGGGCAGCAAGTGCTCTTACCAGTTGAGCCACCTCTCCAACCTCAAGTCTGCTCATCTCTACGTTTAGAAATTAAGTTTTGTATTTGGCCACGCCGAAATCACAAGACAAACTCCTCGATCCTTGAGTTTCATTCAAGTAATCATTCGGGGTAGGGGAGGAAAACCAATTTAACAAAAGCGCTCTTTAAAAACGTGACCACACATAGCGGTAATTCGAGCACTCGGGAAGATAAGGCAGAAGAACCGCGAGTATCTGGTCAACAAGGGCTACACAGCCAGACCCTGACTCAAAGCAAAACAAACCAAGGCGCGAACAGCGTTGCGGAAGTAGAGAACTATTGTTGAGCGAAGACACGAGCTCTAAGCAAACGCCGGGTGTAAAGGACTCGCGTCTCCTGCGGCTGGAGCATAGCGTGAGCGAAGCCGAGCTAATACTGAAGGCGATCAAGGCCACCCTGAGAAAGGGTCAGGGTGTCCCAAGAGTCCCTGCTCGTGGGTGAGGTGGGTGAAACCCAACGGGAAGTGAGAAACCCTCGCACGCTATTCCGTGCGAGGCCGCTGCCCCGTGGCCGGCGTTCGGGCAACACTTTTCCTGGTGCCACCAGTCCTATTTACTTACGCGGAATGCGAGGAGCCTCGAGAAACCTCGCTGTCCGGTCGCCGCTGTGCAGGGGGGCGCGCCCACGCAGAACCCGGCGAGAGTGCAGCAATGCGCCGCGCTACAACATTCCCGCCGGCACCAACTTCCGCCTCCTGACTGACGGGTCCCCTGGAAGCGGAAGTCCCGCCTATCGACTGAACGTAATGGACGCTACCCCAGGTGATTCGTCGTTTAATCGTTTCTTCGGCGGGAAAGGGTTTCCCTTTAGAAGAATGACAGCCGAAGAGGCTCACGGGAGATGCAGGCCATAGGGCTGGGGGGCGGGGCCAAGCTCTGATTGGCAGAAATGGAGTCGGGTCCCTAGCACCTAAATTGATTTTTTTTTTTTTTTTTTTGGTCCTTCAGGTTTGTTTGCCAGAGACTGATTAGCTGTCAAGATTCAATCCTAGTGTCAATCCACTTCAGTAGCGCTCCAGAGGGAGATGAGCACACTTTCAGGTTTTAACAACCATCCCAGGAATATTTTTGTTGTTTACCGTCTGAATAAATAATTATACACAAGGATAGCACTAAGTAGGTACAAGTTTTCACTACTGTGCATAATCTGAATTTTAAAGATGAAAGTGTCGGCTGGGAGTAGTGGGACATGCCTTTGATCCCAGCACTCTTGGAGGCAGAGACGGATCTAAGTTTGAGGCTACCTTGGTCTGCATAGCGAGCTCCAGGACAGTCAGGACTACACAGAGAGACCCTATCTCAAAAGCAAACAAACAAAAAGGTGAATGTCACAGCAAGACGCTACTGGAAATTACTTGATGCTGCATAACCGCACGCTAAATCTAGACGGTTACCTTAAGAAGTAAACGTGTTTGCCAGGCGGTGGTGGCATTAGGGAAGCAGAGGCAGGCATATATCTATGAATTCAAGGCCAGCCCTCTCTACAAAGTGAATTCCAGGACAGGCAGGGCTTCACAGAGAAACCCTATTGAGAAAAAAAACAAAACAAAAAGAAGTAAACATGTTTTGATGTGTATTACTTATCCTGTGGTTATTAACCACTTTCCACAACTTGCACCGGTGCTCCTAATACTATTTGGGATGCTGGAGATGTAGCTACGTTGGTAGAGTACTTATCTAGAATACAGGAGGTCCTGCATTTGATACTTCTCACCATGTAAGATTGGGCATGGTAGTGTATACTTCTTAATCCAGCCTTGGGAATTTAGTGGGAAGTGGATCTTTTGTCCAAGGTACATAGCTTGAACAAGGTACATAGTTACGTAGCAAGTTTAAGGCCAGTATTAACTACATAAGCCTTATTTCTAAAATAATAATTGACATTTGCTAATGTTAATGTCAGGATTGAATCTTGACAGCTAATCAGTCTCCGGCAAACAAACCTGAAGGACCAAAAAAAAAAAATGTTTGCACAATTTTGTTGTACAGAGTCCACGACTGAAGCAGTAAGTTCCAAAGATTTACTTAGTTCACAGCAAAACTTAGTGTTCCATATGCTAGCTGCTTGCTCTAGCATGCTTCTGCCTGTGATTAGTATATGGGAAGCAGAGATGTTACTACATTGTATCCAGCAATGAGCTAAGCTAAAACTCTACCAGATTCTTAACTTCCAAATACTGTCTTTGTTCTAGAACAGCAGTTTTCAACCTGTGTACAGGGATTGCATATAACGTAGCCTTCATGTCAGATATTTACATTATGATTCATAACAGCAAAATTACAGTTATGAAGCTGCAGAGAAAATAATCTTATGTTTGGGGGTCAAAGCATTAGGGATTCCCCTGGAACCAGCTCTTTGTGATTTTATTTTTCCTCCCTTGAGATGGGTCTTTGGTACTTAGAGGCTGTCCTTGAACTCACTTTGTAGCTCAGGCTGCAGACTGGAAAACTCCTGTCTCAGCTTCCTGAGTGCTGGCACTTACTGGCCTGAACCTTCACACTCAGTTCTTATTAACTACTTTAATTAAAATATGAAGCATGTTGGTAATAAGAATGTTTGAGTCTCTTCTGTGATATGCTGGGAAAACACGGCTTTATTCAAGCTTAAAAAAAAACAAAAACAAACAAACAAACAAAAAAACCCTAACACATTCTTTCAGTTAAAAGGTCGTTGTGAGGCTGGGTGTGACTTAGAAGATAAATGAGATCTGTCTTCTTAGGAGAATTTTTTTTTTTTTGTCCTGTTGCCTAAGCAGTCAGTACAGGAACTAGGCACAGGAAGGTCTTTAATTTCCCAAACAGGAAAAAAAAAAGTTTAACTAGTTGAAAATGGGTACTACCCTGATCATGACCTGGTGAAGATATACATCTTGCTATTACACCGTGTTGCCTACATATGTACAATTAAAATAATAACACATTAAAATAATGGACATTCTAAAAGAACATTGTTTAAGGAGTGGAAGAACATTCCTCCAAAACATTGCATAGTTTCCTGGCCAGTTCAGTATCTCAGGATTAGGGGAACGTGATCAGCGGAAAGATACATTTTACTCATGACCAAATGTTTTGCGTTTGATTTTGCGACTAGTAATCCTTGAAACCATTTTGTTTTCTCCTTGAGAGTTCTTGGAACTTCTATAGGCCAGCCAGGGCTGCATGAGGAGACCCTGTCTCAAAAACAAGGGGAGAGAGGTATTGTGAAATTTTTGTATAACCAAAAGGAGCCTGAACCATAGGACCACCCAGGAAACTATCGGTACTTTCTCTTTTCTTTTTCTCTTATTATGTTGCCCAGGCTGTTCTCAAACTTGTGAGCTCAAGTACTGCTACTGTCTCAGCTCCCAGAGTAGCTGGGCCTAGGATGCGTGAGCCATTGATTACATTTATTTATTTATTTTGTTTGCTTTAGTTTTATGTAGATGAGTGTTTCGCCTGCATGTGTGTATGTGCGTGCCTGGTACCTGTGGAGGCCAGGTGCTTATGGAATCCAGAAAACAGTGTTGGGTTTCATGGACCTGGATGTACAGAAACAGGACCTAGGGTCTCTGGAAGAGCAGCAAGTGTTTTGTTGTTGCTTTTGTTTGGTTGTCTGGTTGATTGGTTTTTGAGACATTGTTAGCCTTGGGAGAGAATTATCTAGTTAAGGGGAAATGGGCTGATTCCTTTACAATGAATTATCTTTGATGTTCTCTAAGAGAGCCAGATTGATGGGAAAGAGAGATTTTCATTGACTTGTCCAGTAGATGGCAGCAAAGAGCAGAGCATGGGGCAGTATGAGAGCCAAAGAACTGCCCCTCCCCTTTTTTTAACCTTTTTTTTTTTGTCTTTTTTAAAATTTTTAAAGGTTTATTTATTATATATACACCATTCTGTCTGCATGTACATCTTCGTGCTAGAAGAGAGCACCATATCTCATCATGTACAGTTGTGAGCCACCATGTGGTTGCTAGGAATTGAACTCAGGACCTCTGGAAAAACAGTCAGTGCCTCTGAGCCCTCTCTCCGGCCCCAAAAACTGGCACTTTTACCAGACAATGAAAGATGAATAGTTTGGAATTGACTGTGAAGGTTTTGGATGTTGGTTGCCTAAGGATTACACCAGTAAGTGGGTACTTGTATCCAAACTTTTTACTCTCTCCCTCCATCCCCATGCCTTGCTGTGTGACAATATGTGGTTGGACTTGAACATTTCCTACTTTGCACGAATATAAGAAAAGTAGATACATGGCTATATGCTACTAGCTGCCATGTATGCTCCATTCTTTAATGTGTGATAATTTGTAATCAGACTGAAGCCTGTCTCATTATTGGCTACATTGAACCCTGGAGTTTTCTATGGGTTGCTTAGAGGACTCACTGAACTGCACTAGGATTCCTGTGGAACGGCTGCATGATTGCCGATGTACTATTTCTTAACTCCTGTTTATAATCTGAGTGCCTCTAGAGAACCAAGTCTCCAGTACTGTAGTATTATGCAAGTACCTAGAAGGATGCCAGGCAGGTACAGTGCTGACTCAGTTCAGTTAAAGTTGACATGTGGAACTGGAGATGGCCGTTAGCAGCAGGGTGCTTGCCTAATGCTTGAGGCCCTAAGTTCAATGCTCCAGAAGAAAAATGCTGAAACTCGCTCATTCGTTCAACAAACATCTAATGACTCACATGCTGCGTGAGACACTGGAAAAACACAAGCTAAATGATGTGTTCTTGTCTCCATAAGATACTTTTGCCAGGCGTGGTGGTAGCACACACCCTTCATGCCAGCAAAGGCAGGAGAATCTCTTTGAGTATGAAGCCAGCCTGGAAAGCTTGTTGGTTCTCTCCTAAAGCAAACATGAGGGGGTTATACATGAGGGCCCAACTATTTGGCAATAGAAGATGCCAGAATAAAACCTACCTTGTGGTGCCTTGAGCTTTAACTGTCTAACGCCTAGAACTGTGAGGCACAAGTGCCTGCTATTTAAACAATGATATTTTACTATGGCATTCCTAGTAAATGCTTTATTATAATATGCAACACATATGTCATATTAAACATCAGTGTAGCTCCTTTCCTTCCTTCCTTTTCTTTTTCCCTTCCTTCCTTTTTTCCTTCCTTTCTTCCTTCATTCCTTCCTTCTTCCCTTCCCTCCTTCCTTCCTTCTTAATGAAGACTGGCCTCGAATTCCCTATGTAGCTGAGAAAGATCTTGAACTTACGATCCTCCTGCTTTTCTCTCCCAGGTCTAGGGATCAGGTGGGACCACCATACTAGATTTATGTGATACTGGGGCTCAGACTCAGTGTGTCATGCTTGTGTAGGCAATCATTTTACCAACTGAGCTACATCCTAACCTACCCTTTCTGGTTTTTCAAAGGATTAACTTCACGTGTATGGGTGTTTTGCCTGCATGTATGCCTGGGCATCACTGGTATGCAGTGCCTGTAGAGGCCAGAAGAGAACATCAGATCCCCTGGAACTGGAATTACAGACAATTGTTAGCTGACATATAGGTGCTGGAACCCTAACCGGGGTCCTCTGGAGGAACAGACAGTACTCTTAGCCATTGGGCCATCTCTCCAGCCCCAAAGCCTATCACTTCTGAAACTACATATGGCTTAAAGTTATTTAATTACAAG